ACCCAGCCTGAGGCCCCTTTTGCATTGCCACTTAAAATCCGCACTATCTGCTTTGAACTGGGTTATCTGGCCGTGTGGACACATGTCACAGATTGTCAGAGTGGGAAGGGAGCAGACCAGGCATACTTCCCAAACCCTTTCTTCCTGGCACATTCAAAGCACCCCCAACAGATGGCCATCCAGCTCCCAAGGAAGGAGCCTCCCCACCAGACTCTGAGGCAGAGAGTTCCACTGCTGAACAGCTCTCTTTCTCTCGCAGTCAGGAATTCCTTCCTCAGGTCCAGGTGGAATCTCCTCTCCTTTGAAACGTGGCTCTGGGGCCAAGCCTTTGGAGATTAATAATATATATTGTACATGCATATAATATTTATAATATTACTAGCCGTCCCCTGCCAGGCGTTGCTGTGGCCCAGTCTGTTGATCTGGGAAATAAAGTTATGAGAAAGTGTTGGTTTCTAATCTATGTCATGTCTTTCTGCTTGTGGGTAAACAACATTTCTTGCTGTTTCTTTGCCAGCCAGTGTGGATGTGAAGAGTGTCCGGTTTGCCCACCCTGAAACATGCAAGATATCATGGTCCTTCTCTAAGGGTCCCTTTCAAATTTATGATACTATATCTCTCTCTATGTGTGTGTGAATCATATCTATCTATCTATATCAATGGCTGGATGGCTCTTTGTCAGGAGGACTTTGATTACATTTTCTTGCCCTGGTGAAGGGAGTTGGATTGGGTGGCCTTAAGTGTTTTCTGTTGTCATGGGGTTCTTTGTGGGAGGTTTGCCCCGATTCTATCGTTGTTGGGGTTCAGAATGCTCCTTGATTGTAGGTTAACCATAAATCCCAGCAACTACAACTCACAAATGTCAAGGGCTATTTCCCCCAAAATCCACCAGTGTTCATATTTGGGTGTGTTGAGTATCCATGTCAATTTTGGTGCAGATCCATCATTGTTTGGGTCCAAAGTGCTCTCTGGATGTAGGTGAACTACAACTCCTACACTCAAGGTCAATGCCCATCAAACCTTTCCAGTATTTTCTCTTGGTGCTGTATTTGGTGCTGAATTTGGGTCCAAAGTGCTCTCTGGATGTAGGTGAACTACAACTCCTAAACTCAAGGTCAATGCCCATCAAACCCTTCCAGTATTTTCTCTTGTGTGCTGAATTTGATTCGATTCCACCATTGGTGGAGTTCAGAATGCTCTTTGATTGTAGGTTAACCATAAATCCCAGCAACTACAACTCACAAATGTCAAGGGCTATTTTCCCCAAAATCCACCAGTGTTAACATTTGGGCATATTGAGTATTCGTGCCAAGTTTGGTCCAGATCCATCGTTGTTTGAGTCCACAGTTCTCTGTAGATTTAGGTGAACTACAACTCCAAAACTCAAGGTCAATGCCCACCAAACCCTTCTCGTGTTTTCAGTTGGTCAGAGGGGTCCTGTGTGCCAAGTTTGGTTCAATTCCATCGTTGGTGAAGTTCAGAATATTCTTTGATTGTAGGTGAGCTATAAATCCCAGCAACTACAACTCCCAAATGGCAAAATCATAATTTTTTGAGTGATGGTCACTCCTTGTGTTGTGAGGCGTTTTGTTGCCAAATTTGGTGTGATTTCGTTTATTGGTTCTTTTGTTTTTAGGGTACTCATTATGCACAGAGCATTTATATATGTAGATAGATAGATAGGTAGATAGATAGATAGATAGATGTAATATTACTCATAATATTACAATATAGTGGTATAATACAATATAGAAATATTTAATACTGATATTATACTATGCTAATAATTTAATATATTGTATAGTATATGTATCTTGTAAGCTGCTCTGAGTCTCTCCAGGGTGAGAATGGCGGCATATAAATGTCGTAAATAAATAAATAAATAATCTATAGCGCAAGAATAGCCTCGAAATATGTGCAGTTGGTCATTGTAACGGCCCCGGATTCTGATTGGCGATGGCGTGATTTTAATAGTGAACACAATGTTTTGTATGTTTCGATATGCATTTAATTTTAATGAAGTGTATTCTAACTGTTTGCTTGTTTATTTATTTACAGTATTTATATTAATCTGCCCTTCTCACCCTGCAGGGGACTTAGGGTGGATTACAAGGCACCTATACATGGCAAACTGTGACGGCGCGAGTGGCGCCACCTATGTATAGAACTGTTAGTTGTAAGATTTAAACTGTTGTATCATGNTTTATATTGCTGTTTTATATTGTTGTTTTGATACTGTTGGCATTGAATTGTTGCCTGTGTTAGCCACCCTGACTCCCCCCTCGGGGGTGAGAAGGGCGGGGTAGAAATGGTCTAAATAAATAATAATAAATTAACCATAAGATACACTAACACTAACAACAGCAGATGAGCAAAAAAAAAGGTCAGTGCATA